CTCCCGCACCCAACGTCCCCGCGCGGCTCGCAGCCCGGTGGGCAGCGGGTGCAGCTCGGGGGCCGCAGAGGGGGCCGCCTCCGCTCGGCGCCGTGCGGCCGGCCCGCGCGCCCTTGCTCGCGTCCCGGGCTCACCGCGAGCCTCTAGCTCCCCCCGTCGCCGCTTCTGGGCACGCAGAGTCCGCGCCGCGCGAAGTCCCGGGGTCACAGCCGTGCCAAAGTGGAAGGGCGGGTCGGGGGTCGGGGGTACGCGGACGTCCACAGCGGCCAGCCGGGCCTCTGGGCCTCAGCCCTCGGGAGCAGGCGCCGAGTGGGAGCAGCCACAGCGTGGCCCGTGCCCTCTCGGGATCCCGGGCTCATACTTGCACGCCCTGACTTTGTGCCTCTCTGTTCTGTGCAGGAGAAGCTGTGGAAACACACCCGGATCGAAACGCCCCTGGCTCGCGTGACCCTACCCCGGGAGAAGCAGCCGAGTTACCCGACATCGTGGTCAGCAGAAGCTGGGTCGGTGCCTGGGTGCTGCAGCTGCAGGAACTCGGTGCCTAGGAGGGCTCCTGTGCAAGGAGAGAAGCAGAGATGCCACATTTTTAAAGTTTCACAAAGCATCCAGCTGCACCCAGGTTCCTGGAGCAGGAGACAAACAGAATTAATGTTTTATACCTTCGGGTATAGGTTTGAGTTTTTTCCCCCTCATGCCAAGTATTTAAAACCTCTAGAAACCCATGATTTGACAATCAATGATTGCGCGATACTTTCAATTTGAATATTCAAAGGCTTAACAAAATGGACTATCTTCTGCAGAAATCCTGCACACAGGCACCCCACAGACAGTCCAGAGAAACAGGGAGTGAGACCCCTGTGGGTCCTGGGCCTTGCTTTTATTGTATTTTAAGCATTTTGCCCACCTTTCCACAGACAGAGCAGGAGTCCTCAAAGATGCTCTGTATTTCTGCCTCAAAGGCAGCTCCAGGAGCCCTGAGTGACTTAGGCTGACCTTCATGACCACCTGAGCCAGGCCGGCTGGCCAGACCGATTCCCACGTCCCTAGTCTCCATTTTAAGGGAAAATCTCAGGTTTTGGGGAGCGAACACGGCAGGCAGTAGGTTCAGCTTGGGAAGGAGTCTTGCAGGCCCCAGGTTGCAGGCTGGAGGCCTGGCAGAACGCTCAGCTGTCTGCGCGGCATCTCCTCCTGGCCACTTGCTGCCGGCCCTGCCTTGGGTCCTGCTCTCTGTGTGCGCCCCAGACCCTGGGGTTTCAAGACAGAATGCCAGCCCATTTGCTTCTCCACAAGGAGCTGGGGATGCCTGTGTGGCCTCACTCTGAGTTTTTTTCTGAGGCTGGCGTTTCTTCCTGATGAAGTTCCCTCTTCTCTCGTCTTTCTCTGTCTTGAGCCACCCCTGCCCTGTTTGCTGCAGGAGTTTGTATTGAGAGATGATGTGGACAAGTTTGGGTCCCGCTCATTGGAGCCGAGAGGACGTGGATTTGTGTTCAGGCATTCACACTTTGGGTGAGAGGCGGGAGAGGCTTGCGCTCAGGATGCGGGGCCCGTAGGTCCAGGCCTAGGCCCCTCAAAAATGACGGAACTATGCTGGGTTATGTTCTCCGAGCGCTTGCTGTGACTCTTCCGTGTGATGTGCAAACTTGAGAAGACGGCAGTGGTCCAGAGAGGGAGTGAGGGCCAGGCCAGACCCTCTTCCAGCTCCTGAGGGAAGGGGGCAGCACCAGATGACAGAGAAGCAGGATGGGGTTCCTTTTGCAAATGAGCCAAGACATTCCCATGAGGCCGGGCCAGGCGATGGTGACGGGCCTCTGTTCCCTGAGTTCTGTGAAATGCAAAAGCCCCGTAGGCCACCAGAAAAATAATCCGAGTTCCCTTGAATGTGTCCAGTGCAGGGTAGAACGTACATGCCGATGGGAGAATGGAGGGAGGCCCCTTGGGGCGACAAGACGCTGGAGTCTGTGGTGGGTAGGAGCTGCTTGGCAGAGGATCGGGGCTGGGAACACCTGAGATGTTAGCTGGCGGTGGAAGGCAGCGTGGGGTGTGTCCGTTCACAGCCCAGCTGGAATCTCTCAGCTTCCGGAGCCTCTTTCGACAGAGGCCTCTGAGTCTGTGTCCTGAGTTTCCCTGATGGGCGTCAAGCTG